CTTAGGAACCTCAGTGAGTTTGAGGCCAGCCTGGTCTACAGTGTGAGTTCCAGGACAGTCAGAAACCCTGTCTTGAAAAACCAAAAGAAAAAAAAAAAAAGGAAGGAAGGAAAAGAAAAAAAGAAAAAGAGAAAGAAAGAAGTTGCGAATACATGGGGCTGAGGATGTAGCTCGGCTGATAGAGTGCCGAGTATTAGGTTTCATCCCCAACACCATAAACGTGGAGTCAAACACTTGCAATCCCAGCATTAAGAGACGAAGTCAAACCGCTGTAGGGATGCACACCTTTAATCCCAGCACTCAGGAGGCAGAAGCAGAGACAAGGAATGTCTGTGAGTTTGAGGCTGCCCTGGTCTACAAAAGTGAATTACAGAACAAGTAGGACTATTACACTGAGAAACTCTGTCTCAAAACAAACAAAAACGAAAACAAGAAAGAGGAAATGGGATGAGGACAAGGCCTGCCAGAGCCGTGTTTGCCGTGCTCCTGTTAAAGTCCTTTCAAGTTCCCCAGGCCTCCATGCCCAGCTTTCCTTTCCTCTCTCCTCCCTCCCTTTTGCCTTTGAGATAGGGTCTCACATCTAGCACCAGCTTGCTGGGAACTTGCTATGTAGAACAGGCCCATTCCATACAGAGAATGGTCTGCTATTCTGTACTCTTTAGTTTGAAGGAGTTTGTTAAGCTTGTAGCAAGCAAAGCTAGCAGAACAAAAGCAAGTAGCGATGAAGCAGAAGAGACAGCAGACATTATCAAGTCAGGAGTTTCTGTGACAGAGACGGCTGTAGCAGCCTCCCTCAGCAAGCAAGCAGAGGTGACAGCATCTAATCAGGCCCTGAAAACACCCGGCAGAAATGACAAGGGAAGCGCAGATGAAATGAATTTGCTCGAATTTTCTGAATGAGAGATAGAGCGTTTTCTCATGCTTTCTCCAGGGATTGGTGTTTAGCTATTTTTATACCATGAGATAAAAAAATAACCTCTGCTGGAAGTGGCTTTTCCCTTCATCTCTTCTTTATTTTGATTTTTGTGTGTGTGTATGGATGTTTCACCTGTATGAGTCTGTGCACCACTCCTGTGCCTGTGCCCAAGGAGGCCAGAAGAGGGCGTCAGATTTCTGAGAACTGGAGTTACAGAGGGTTGTGAGCTGCCATGGTGCTGGAAATTGGAACTTGACTCTGTAACAGCAGCCTGTGTGGTTAACATTGAGCCTCTCCAGCCCCAGGTCACCATGTTTGTTTGTCTGAATTTTACACACCCACCCACACACACACACACACACACACACACACACACACACACACTCCATCACCATGTTTTTAATACAAGTAGCTGTTTGTTTTCCTTGCCCTGTTACAGGGTAAAAGGGCCAGCCTGTCCCCAGAACAGGGAGCTCTGGAGGAGACTGAAATACATAAAATGCTCTAGTTGGAGATGAGTGAGAAGTCTCCTGCTCCCACTCCCAGAGTCTGCTCTCAGTCAGCACAGACAGCATGTGCCAATACCAATATAGTGTCTGACAGCTGGTCTCTGAGCTTCAGAGTGATCTGCGGGTCTCTGCTTGCTGTGAGCTAGGATCACAGCATGTGGTGCCATGTCCAGGGCTGTGTGTTTTTATATTTAAACCAATTCTTAAAAAGTTTAAGGCCAGCAACAGGTAAAAGCCGATAGTCCTCAGGACCTACGGTCAGGAGAGGGCCACTACCCCAAGTGTCCTTTGATCTCCATCTGTGTGTGTCTCTCTCTCTCTCTCTCTCTCTCTCTCTCTCTCTCTCTCTCTC